ATTTTTTCATGAATCGATCTTCGCAGTTATGATTCAGACCGATCCAAAAAATTGATCTGTTTGATTAAATCGTACAACCCTAATAGGAGCATGGGTTATTTCATATTAGAAATACTCTAGGTATCTCATATTACGATTTCCACGCCTTATGGTTTTACGATCATCAAATCTAACTTCTGTAATTAAACAATTCAATATATTTCGTATTTTTCTATTTAGTACGACCTTACTCTATCACTACATGAAGAATTTATTGCCAAATATTTATTTATTAAATAATAAACAAGGTTTAAAGGGATGCTAAACCGATTACCCAACTCAATCAAGGTCGATAGTACAGACTTTTTTAATTCCAAATTCGATAATTGTGGTGACATCTTTATTTAGTTTTTACATTATATTATATAATATATATCATTCTGTCTTACTCAAACGCATACATCTGTTCTTATCTAACATATGCCAGTACCATCTACCGCAAGACCGCGCAACTACTGCTATACGGAATTTCGGCTCTGTTGACAGTCCCAGTCTTCGCTGGGACACCTGTATACACGTATTTTCTATTCGGTGGAAATATTTCTTTTCTAGACTTTCAATCTTAGTTCTACAAACTCGGTATCGTTCGTTTCAATAATGTGACCTCAGCTGCATGCTTATTTTCAAGATATGGACTCTAATGTCTGTATTCATAGTCAGGCCTTATATTTAAGGCTTCCTTAAATTAATCTTTAGATGCTCAGTAGCCAATAAAATAATTCGTAGAGCATCTGAAGATAATATTTAAGGAAGCCTTAAATATAAGGCCTGACTATGAATACGGGTATAAAACTCTTATATCAAGCAGATATACAAAATATACAAGAAAATATATCTGAGATGACAGTTGTACGAGAAAAGAAATGAATTTTTAACGAATCTGAAACTTTTTTTCGATTTTCTCATGAAATCCAGTGCAGCTGAGATCTTGTTTGTGCGTACTTTAATTTAAGCAATAATACTTTTGCAATCCGTACATCCAATACAGAGATTTTTCACCGAATGGAAATGTGGTAAAACAGGAGGCTTTAGTATCGCCTTAAATGCTCATCTCAATGAAACTTAAAGACATCCAAATTCTAAAATCTTATTTTACAATAACTACGGAGGCATGATCTAATAATGAATTTTCTATTAAATAGTTTTTAGTCCAAGAACAATAAATGTATGGTGGAACCAATAGATATAGCGTTTATTAGTTTAGCAGAAACGCCGCTATTTCATATTAAGTGCCTATCTCATAATAGGGGGCTTTCCTCTATCTACAATATATATCTGTTATGTAACAATTAATAATTAGGTAACTATATAACTAAAAATTATAATTAATTGCAAGCAAGCAAAAAAAATCAAGGAAGAATGGAACGGAGTTTTCTCTTCATATATGACATATACACAATAGATGCATTCAGAAGCACGACCGCTCACTGAGCTGTCAGTGAGCTCTTGTACCTGTTTGGTCTATATTTTTAGATCTAATGGAATATGCCAGTCAAATGCAAAAGCTCACTGAGCGGTCATGCTTCTGGATGCACCCAATACTAGTGCGGTTCGTTACTAGTCTGTGCAGGGGTGGCACCCAGTTGGACACGGCTCAATTGGACACGAGCCACTCACAACGCTTGAGACTACAAAGCACCTAAGCACCGGTTGCTGTGATTGGTGGTGTCCAATCGAGCCGTGATCAATCGGGATCACCCCTGTGCAGCATCGTACGTTAAATCACGCTCCTATCAACATATACTCACTTCAACGATGAATTGAAAATGGCGGCTTCCAGTTGAATCCGTTCCACTCACCCTTGATTCTCTCTGCAAATATCTAGAGATTTTTTACCATAACTCAATTGATGAAGCTAGCCGCTTTGTCGACTTGAACGCGCCCAATGGCTGTGTTCAGGATATCAATCATGAAACTTTATCCTTAGGATAGAAAGTGAAAAGTGCAAATTTTAACCATTGAAATTAATGGAGAAATTTTTCACTTTTTACTTTTCATCCTAGGAAAAAAGTTTTATGATTGATACCAGAGAGAAACCTGAGAGTGGACATGACGGCCCAAAACCTGTAACCGCAAAATGCTGCCGCGCACTATTGCCCTCTGACAAAGTGGTTGTAAACTACATAGCAACGTCCACTTTTCTTAGGGTACATCGTCTATTTTTCAAGGCTGGAGATGATAAGTCGATTTATCATCTCCAACCTTGAAAAATAAACAATGTACCCTAAAAAAGTGGACGTTGCTAGTACGCAGCAGCATTGTGCGGTTACAAGTTTTGGGCCGTTATGTCCTCTCTCAGGTTTCTCTCTGGTAGATTGATACCCAGCATAAAAAACAGTAGCTTTGCAACTGCTGTAAAATTTTTCAATACAATTGGTTCTTACTTTTGGTTCCTTATGTATTTAAATACATAAACCAATCAGATTGAAGAATTTTACAACAGTTGCAAAGCTACTTTTTTAAAGTCTCGCGAAACCACTCGAGCGGGACGAACGTACTCGCCCGCTTCGGGTATTATATCACCTCACCCATTTTTTGAAAAGCGTTTCCGGCTTCGACTGTGCATTGCGTTACATTATTTGTCCTGATTACATCATTATTTCGTCCCATTCACCGGTTTGAGGTGACCGGTGTATCATACTTTGATTTCACGATTTATTTATGATTCTGGCCGGAATCGCCGCCATTTTTTAGGCGAATGCCATCAATTTTGAAGAAGAAGAAGAAGAAGCAAAGCTACTTTCTCTGCTGAACACAGCCAGTATCATCTACTCTTCAACAATCTCAACGGTCGACTATTGTCGACTTAAACGTCGTCTACAATACACGGAGTAAGAAGTAAGAGTAAGAAATTGACCAATCACAGTCGATTATTCTTCTCACATTCGACTGTGATTGGTCAATTTCTTACTCTTACTTCTTACTCCGTGTATTGTAGACAGGCCTTAAAGGCCCGCCTACGAAGTAAAAAATTGACCAATCACAGTCGATTATTTTTCACACATTCGACTGTGATTGGTCAATTTCTTACTCCTACTTCTTACTCCGTGTATTGTAGACGGGCCTTTAGGGTGCCGTCACATGCCGCGTAACCTGCGTAAGCGTAACCTGCGTATTCTAGTAATTTACTAGAATACGTTATTTTTTATTTACTAGAATACGCCATTCTGAAAGCCCGCATTCACATTGAGCGTATTTCGCGGAAGATTAGAGAAATGCGGAACTAATGCAACCAATTGCTGATTAGAATTTCTGTTGTACACTCTAACAGAAATGCTAAATGAATTTACGATTGGTTTTCGTAACCTACGCATCTCGAAAAGTACGCCTCATGGATTACATTTACACGGCACCCTTAATCGAGTTTAATAACATCCGTAATTATGAAACTGACCAACCACAATCATTCCATTCTCCCGACGAAAAGCTATGATTGGCCAATTTCATAACTACGAATGTTATTAAACCCGATTAAATGTGCCGTGTAGCAGAGGTCATGAGAAACCGGTACCTTTCCGTCGCGTATATATGAGCGAATGATCGAATAAATTATTAAAATCGGAAAATTTTGTGAGACCCATAGACATATAAGATAGACCCAGCATCTATAGTACATGTTGGGGTTTGGCAGAACGGTGCGAGAGGCAAGATATCGGGGCA